CAGCCCCAGCCCAGCATCCCTGGTGCCAGCCCTGGTAGCCAGCCGGTCCTCCCCCGAGGCCGGGCCTCCGCCTGCCATACTAAGCCTCGGGCCTGTGTCTTCGGGGAAGCTCGGAGGTCCCCAGACACTGTCCCCGCCCTCCTGAGTCCCCAGGCTTAGCATCCAAGGTGACCACAGGCCCTGGGCTGCACTGGGTTCCAGACTCCCACTCCCCAGGACCCATCCGAACACCAGGAGCTTTGGCCACCGTAAATTATGGAAATGAAAACCCACAGGGACAGTGGGTCTGCAGTTGCTACTCGGTGACTCAGACCTACGGGCAGGTGGCTCATCCATGCTACCTGGGCCGTTACAGCCAACACCACAAAGACAGTTAAAAACCTGTTTTCCCTGAAAAAAAAACCCACTTTACAAAACACAGCTGTAATGTAGAGGCCAGAAGAATGCCAGAGCCTTGCTATCTGACTGTCGCCGCGCACCCACCCTGCCCGTGACGTGGCTGCCGGCAGCATGTTTGGCCTCCACACACCGGACAGCTTTGCAGGGCTCGGTCATGCAGCTCGGTGGTGAGGGCGGGTGAGGCCTGTGGCCAGGAAAACGGCAGGAAAGACAGCCCAGTGACAGGCACGATGGACAGGCCTCGGGACTTTGCCCCTCTGTCTGGATTCCCTACGGAGCAGCTCCCACGGCGCCTTCAGATCCCAGAGAGTAAAGGTTTAGACCACATCTTCAGGCACTGCCTCGCCCATGACAGTGTGTCATCTTGGGTGGCACTTAAATTCCTGAACTAGAGTTATTAAAACTCTAAACTGACTCGCTTTATTTTCAGTTTTTAAAAATTGTGATTTAAGCTGGTCATTCACCGGCACTCTGGGAGGCAGAGGCAGGAAGATTGCAAGTTCCAGTCCAGCCTGGGGAACTTCGCTACTTAGCCAGACCCTGTGTCAGAACTGTAAGGGCAAGAGTGGGCTGAGGGTGCAGCTCAGTGCCAAGGCCGAGCTCCATCCCTGTTACCACACACACACACGTGAAGCTTTCTCCTCTGGGTTTCTGAGGCCAGTTTTGAAATCCACTTCCCCAGGGGGCTTTCGGGGCCTCACTCAGCCCAACTCCCTCTTCTGACCGTGGCCCTAGGCACGAGGCCCCACCCCTTCCAGCAGCGGAGGACACCAAGCCCTGAGGGATGGGGCGCTCCCTGCCCTCCAACCCAAAGTCTCCAAATGCCACCAGCAGCTGGAGTTTCTCCTTTGTTTCTTTTCCTTTTTGCCTAAGTGGTGCTGATGGATTTTTACTTCCTGAGACCCAACAAACCTCACCGCCCAGCGATTGCGCCTCAGACCTCTGCTGTTCTCTGAGTATGGGCTCTGCTGGGACCAGGCCTTCCCGCCCAGGCCCTCCTCTGACCCAACTTCCCTGCCCGGGTGGCCTCTCTTCCAGGGCTGCCCTTGGGGTGTTTCCAGCTCCAGCCCTGGACAGCTGGTGTCCCTGCACTGCTCCCTAGCCAGGCCCTGCCCAGGTCGGGCGTCTCCACTGCTTCCCCAGTCCCCAGCCCAGCTGAGCGGGGTCGAGGGTCTGCAGCTCCACATGTGCAGCTCGGTGAGTCTCTGACCCCTGTGCTCCCCGATGCCGAAGGCCGAGCTGGGCTCACTGGGCAGGGTGGCTGGCTGAAGGGCTCCTGAGTCAGTGGCCACCAGGACGGACCTGGGCTCTGAGGGACACAGCCCCCAAGGGCCCTGGTGTCCTGGGAGCCTGGAGCAGGCAGTGCCAAGGATGAGACCTGGCCAGTGCTCTAGCTCTGACCCGTACCCCAGCCCTGGACCTGATGCCATCCAAGTCACATGCGTTACAAAGCTTGCCAGTTTCATCTGGGGGCACGCCTGTCATCCCAGCACCTGGGAGACTGAGGCAGGAGGATCGCCACCAGTTGAAGGCCAGCCTGGGCTATGTAGCAAGACCCCATCTCAAAAGGTGGTTCCTGCCCACCATTTCCTTTTCTGGGTTCCTGGCTTTACCTGCATTTAGGCCAGCGGGGCAGTCCTTTATTCTCCTGCCCTGCCAGCGGGCCCAATGCGCATCTACCGTGGAGGTGGGTCCAGCCCGCCCCTCTCCCTAGGCCGAACGTGGAGGGCCACGAAATCCTTTGAGTGGAAGATGCACACAGCACGGCCCTCTGGTTTGTTTTTTAAAAGCTGACTCTGCGTCCTGTGGAGTTGGCTGACGGGCCAGGGGCTGGGGGAGAAGGGGCGTGTGCCCGAGAGGCTGGCTCAGCAGCCAGCAGTCAGCAGGCCTCCCCGTGTGAGGCGCAGGCCAGGCCTCCCCACGCCAGGCGGGGCACTGTCCCCAGTCACACCTGACCCCCAGTGGTGTCTCAGTCTTCCTACTTTATAAAGGAGGACATTCAGGCTCAAGGCTTGGGATGATTCCTTCAAATGCCACTGAAATCGGAGCTAGCTTTAAATCCAGGTTTTCCAGCCTGGAACTCATTGTCTACTCTCTGGTGAGAACTGGCAACTTCCGACTGAAGTGTGGAGGGGACCGAGACACTGCGATGGGTAAAGTCGGGGTCACGCAGGCTGCACGGGGAGCCAGGGCATGCTGCGGTCAGGTCTCCCACTGTCGGTCTTCACGAGAGCCCAGAGCTGAGTGTTTCGGCCTCTGCCCACGAAGCGTGGCCATAGTATGGTGAGTGCTGACGCTGAAAAGAAGCTCTCATGGAGGAGACCCGGTGCCATGCAGCCCTCAGAGCCCCTTGCTCCAAACACACTTTCCCATTGTCCTTGCCCCTTGCTTGCTTGCTTGCTTTTTTATCTTGAGACAGGGTCTCACCACTTAGCCCAGGCTGGCCTGAAACTTGAGGCAATCTTCCTGTCTCAGCCTCCCGAGTGGTGGGATTCCAGGTGTGCCCTGCCTCACCAGCCCTTGCCGCTTTCTGAAGCAGGTCTGGAGTTCTCTTTCCTGAGTGTCTTTTTCAGGCGTGATAGAAAATACAGTGAATGCTCCCGCCAAGGCCGCTCATAAACACACGATGCTGCTCGTCCACCTTATTCATGGGATCTGGCACTGCGAAACTCCTGGCGCTTCCCAAAGTCAAGATGGCCACGGCAGGAAATGACTCAGGGCTTCAAGGCAGCTGCGACAGCACAAGGAAAGACACTCGGGAGAGAGGATCCCAGAACCTCTGCAGAAAGTGCCCAGAGCGACGGGATGAGGGGGCTCGGGGGTGGTGCTTCGTGGGGACGAACAGAATCCATGTTTTTTGTTTTTGGGTTTTTTTGGTACTGGGGATCGAACTCGGGACCTTGCGCTTGCAAGGCAGGCGCCGGAACCACTGAGCTACATCCCCGGCCCCAGGATCCATGTTTTCTTTCATGGCTCCCTACACCAGAAAACCCCTCCAGGGAGGGAGATCACGGCGGGGGTAGGGCAGGGCTGCCGACTGCTTGCTCACATCACCTGGACTCTGCTGTCATGGCCAGGCCCACAGCAAGCCACCCGCAGCCTCTCTCCCTTGCTTCCTTTAATTCCAGAAATCCTGCGTTTCAACTGGGTTAGGAGCCCTTGTGAAAATATGGCCATGTGGGCTGGGGATTTAGCTCAGTGGTTTTGCCACCTGCTGCACAAGCGCAAGGACTAGAGTTCAATCCCTGGTACCAAAAAAAGAAAAATATGGCCATGTACTAGGGTCTAGGTAGCAGAATGGGAACAAAAAGGTCTGGGCAATTTCTAGCAGTGCCTTAAATGGAACAGATAAAAACTTCCTTGACTTTTTCCTTTTCTGGATCACTGGGATGCAGACATGATGGTAGGAGCTGCAGCAGCCAGCTTAAACCCAGAGACAGAAACAATACATTGAAGCTGGGAGTGCTGCCCTACAACTCTGGGCAGCCCATTGCTGGGCCTTACCTGAGAGAAAAATGAACTCCTATCTACTTAAACCACTGCACTCGCAGGTCCCTTTTAAACAAAGTTTCTACTGTACTCTAGACACACTTATGAGTAGCTTTTCTGACAAAAAAAAATTAATTTATTTGAAAAAACACAGGACCAGAGAACATCGCCTACAGCTGTATGATGTTTGAGAGCACTCGTGGATTGGTAGAGAATGTTTAATACTTTGGCAGCACTGACTTGACACCACTGTAGGGGCTCCAGGACGCAGACCTGGAGGGATGTGCATAACCGCCAAGCTGCAGTGAGTCCACCCCACGCTGCAAGGGTCCCGCCACCTTTCGTGACGTGAGCCCCGAGGAAGCCCGCGCTGGGGCCTGAATTCCTCTCCCTGGACCCGGGTGCAGCTGGAGGCGCATGCTCTGGCCCACGAGGTCCCCGGAGCCGTGGCTGTGTCCTGGGACGGCACTGCATCTCGGGGGACACCGCTGTGTCCTAGAGGCACCACCGTGTCTCAGAAGGCACGTGGCAGGCTGCCAGAGCCAGAGAGCTCCCTCGAGGGCCCAGCCCTGTCTGACTGCCTATAATAGTCTACCTAACTTAGCTATCTATAATACTTGAAGGCTGAGGGAGGAGGGTCTCGAGTTCAAGGCCAGCCTGGGCAACTCAGTGAGACTCTCGAAATACAAGGGCTGGGGGTGTAGCTCAGGGCTCAAGCACCCCTGGGTTCAATCCCCAGTACCCCAAACAAAACAGAACAGAATCAGCACGGTGGAGCAAGACAGATTCCAGCGCCTGGCGGTCACCTCCCCGCCAGGTGGCGATGAACACACCCCCGCCTGGCACAAAGCACCTCCAGCGGCTGCCCCAGTGCGGGTGGTGTTCTCCATACCCCAGAAGGCCGGCAGTCTAGCCAGGGCGAAGACAGGAACACAGGACCCCACCCCTCATTGTTCTCACCCCAGGCAGGAAAGGGCGGCTTCCTACATGCTGGGCGAAAAGCGGGAGAATCCCCGTCTTTCCCTATAGGTTTCCCGGTGGCACTTTGGGTCTTGATGAAACTACAGCGCAGGCACACGAGGGCCTCAGAGCCTCCAGGGTGAGCAGCAGTACAGGTACCTAAGGTCGCCCTGTACTGTTGGGCAGGTTGGGGCCTGAACAACCTGCTTGCCCTAGAGGGAAAACCAGGAAAAGGAGCCAGTGACTCTCACTAGTCCTGTTGGGGCACTTGGTTCCCCTCAGAGAATCTGGGGAGTCGCGTTTCCAGAGAGGCTCCTCTGGCTCCGCCTGGGCTCCATGGGGAACAGAGGCTCCAGCGGAACCGTCCTCGTGAGCAGGTGGGACCTGAGAGGGGACGCAAAGCTGGAACGCTGGGGCTGGTGGGGCGCGGGTCTGATGGGGGGCTTTGGGGCTCAGGGGAATTCAGGGCTCTCTTTCCCCTTTCCTTTCCTTTTTTAAAATCTCAGTGAAGCCGGGGATTTAGCTCAGTGGTTCCAGCTCCTGCCTTGCAAGCACAAGGTCCCAAGTTCAATCCCTGGTACCAAAAAGAAAAAAAAAATTAAAATCTCAGTGAAGAAATGTAGGCTAAAAACTTTAGTTTTTAACCATTTCATCACCAATTCATGCAAAGTTCTTCTCTGATCTTACTTTTCGTTTTCTCTCCTACCTCCAAGCCCTAATTATATTTTTGTGCTCAGCACGCCCACTGTAACATACTTAATATATCTGTAGATATTTATACGTGTCTTCCTGCCAAAGGTGTCTCCTGCGCATTCTTTCTTCCAGAAAATGGTAATGTGCCATGCATCCTACTCCACTTCCTGCAGCTTCCCCTTAACACTGGGTGTTTAGTCCATCGAGGTTGACATGACTTTTGTCTGTCTGGTCCTGGGGATGGAATCCAGGGCCGTCACCCTGAGCTCCATCCCCAGCTCTTTTATTTTGAGACAGGGTCTTGCTAAGTTACTAACTTGCCCAGGCTGGGCTCACATTTTTGATCCTCCTGCTTCAGCCTCCCAGAGTGCTGGGATGACAGGCGTGTGCCGTTGTCATGGTTGCTCCTTCTTTCTACTTATATTCTATCGTGCTCATCTGCCTTATTTGATGAATCCCTTTTTCCAGTGAGGAAAACCAACAGCTCCCTGAGCAACCTCACAGTGAATGTGCTTCTGGACTTGTAGCTCCTTTAGATATATGACGTTTGAAATAGGTGAATGTTTACGTTTTTAAAACTGCAGTAAAAGGGCCAGGGATTTAGCTCAGTGGTGCCACGCCCACCTCACAAGTGAAAAGTCCTGAGTTCCATCCCCGGTACTGGAAAAAAAATTGCAGTAAAAGACACATTGCCACGAATCCCCTGAAAGCCCTGTCACCTCACACACTCACCCCATGCTTCCCACCACTTCCTGCAGCAGCTCTGGGGCCCCCATTCCTGAGGGTCTTTACTTGCACTGCCCTGGGTGCCTCGATGTCCTGCACTGATTCAAATCATGTACCTGTCCTGGTCATCCTGACTTTAGGAAGATCCAGAAGTCTCACAGTGTCAGAGCGGGTGACAAGGAGGATGCGGACGTAGTCTCGTGTTTTTACAAGCCGCCTCTCCGCTGGATGGCGCTCAGTGGCAGCAGTTACGTTTTTTAATCACATCTCATAAAGACTCACGAAAGAAGACTGCAGAGACACTGCAGAAAATGTAAGCACAAAGGGAGGAGTGTGTTTGGACGGAGGGAGCGGATTTGGAGAGGGCTCAGGGCAACGCGTCCTTCAGTATGCCTGGACAGTGTTCACAGGCCACAGGCCAGGGCCTTGCACATTCCTGCTCTCGAAAGCGGCAGTCGCTGGGCTGGGTGGTCACTCACCCATGGACTGCACGCTGAGCATTCCTGAGGCCCTGGTGTCATCAGCTTTCCCGGTGCTGGTACAAAATACCCGACACCCAGTACCTGAAAGAGAACCGGCTTCCTTGCTCACCACCCTGCCAGTGTCAAGGGCTAAACTGCTATCACTAACAGACATACATTGGCCCGGAACCACAAAGGCACAGACTGGAAGGTGGAGGAATGTTCCAGAACCTGAAATCATCCTTCTAAAGTTTAGCAGAGCTTACGAATTCCTCAGAATAATGTTTTTAAGTTCATAAAATGAAATTTGTGGCCAGTTATGGTGGCACATGCCTGTAATCTCAGTACTCCGGGAGGCTGAGGCAGGAGATTCACCAGGTTTGAGTGCAGCCTAGGGCATTTAGCAACTTAGCAAGCCCCCATCTCAAAATAAAGAATAAAAAAAGGGCTGGGGATACAGCTCCGGGTTCAATCCCCAGCACCGCCAAAGAAGAGAGGGCATGAGCGCACCAAAGGGCTTCCGGAGGAGATGCCGTGTGTTGGCACCAGCTTGCGGGGAGCGGGGGTGGAGGAGCCCCAGGAGCCTTCTTCTCAGCCTTGGGGTCTCCATCAGGAAGGGCCAGGCTGGCCGAGGGCCATCAAGCTGGGCTTCCATCTGCCCACCCTGACAGCTTTAGTCACTGCTGATCACAGCCACACCCCCCTGCACCAGGCACGCTTGCCAGGACCCTGAAGTCCGAACAGTAACTCAAATTACTTAGCGCTCGAGCACAGTGCTGGCGACGGAACCCAGTTTTCTTTTGGTTTTTCGTACCGGGGCTAGAACCCCAGACCCTGTGCTTATGAGACAGGCGTGGTGCCACTGAGCTCAATCCCCAGCCCAGTCCCTTTTATTTTTTGAGGCAGGATCTTGATAAATTGTTCAGGCTGGGCTCCAACTTGTGACCCTCCTGCTTCAGCCTCCCAGAGATCTGGGATTGCACACATGCACCACCACGCCTGGCTGGAATCTCATACTCCTAACCAGGCTGTAAGAAAGAGCTCTACCTTTGTAATTACTGACATGCAGGGACATGTTCGAGTTGTTTGTGGGTTTTGTTTTTTTTTTAAAGTAGATTGGGCTGGAGGTGTTGCTCAGTGGCAGAGCACTTGTCTGGCTTGCTCAAAGTCCGGGGTTAAGTACCCAGCACCACCAAAAAAAGAGAATTCTATAAAATATCAATTTCTCGGTGGTGCAAAATTTTATAGCGTAAAGAGGGATGTGAGAAGGCAAGGTAGAGTCTGAAAACACATACATAAGAACATTAGTTAAGCCAGGTGTATAATCCCAGTACTTGGGAGGCGGAGCCAGGAGGATTGCCATGAGTTCAAGGCCAGCCTGGGCTACATAGTGGGACCCTATCTCCAAAACCCCCAAATAATATTTTAACAAACAAGGCAATACAGCTGTTTTCATTTTGTAAAAATGACCCATCTTGTTCACTGCCTTTGGCCAGTGCTGGAACACACGAGCGATGCTGGTGGAGTATTTATGGAGTGGATCCATGGACAAAGGCCTGGCCGGCAGCGCGGTGGTAACATGAGACAAGTGCTGGACAACAGAGGTGCCCGACCCGGCCAAGCAAGGGAAGGGCCGGGCTGGAGACAGGATGCGAGCGTGGGGAGAACACTGGGGACTGTCAGCTCACAATTGGGCCAAGACTGTTTTTTGTGGGGGTGGTTGGTAACGGGGATCGCACTGGGGTCCTTCCGCTTGGGAGGCAGGCTGTGGAACCACTGAGCTAAATCCCTGGCCCCACCAATGTTTTTTGTTGAGACAGGATCTGGCTTTCGTGGCCCAGACTGGCCCTGAGCCCTTCATCCTACGGCCTCAGCCTCCAGAGAGCTGGGACTGCAGGTGTGTCAAGATTACCCTGGGGTGGGAGTGTCAGCACGGGACCCCGCTTTAAGAGAGCCCCTGTAGCCTCCCGAGAGCTGGGGGAGCGTTGGGAGGCGTCGCCCGGTGCCTGAGCAGGACTGCGGTGATTGCAGCCTTCGGTGACAGCAGCCGGGGACAGCGATCTGGAGGCAGGCCGCGGGGACTGGACCCCGCCAGGGCCTCGGGGAGGAGGCCTGGGCGCAGCTCCTCGGCCCGTGCCTCCCTCCCATTCCGTCCGGTCTGAGCCACTCCCACGGCAGCGCCTCTTCCCGGCGTGGGCGCCGGGCCAGCGGGCGGCGCGGGGGGCGGGGCGCTTCCTGGACACCCGGTGCCGCGCCAGCTGCTGCAGCCGGGGATCAACAGGATGGCAGCCGGGCGGAGGAAGGAAGGGAGGAAGGAGGCCGGGACTGCAGACGGCGCGGGGCGCGAGGGGCCGAGGGCCGGGCTACCCAACCCCACCCCGCCCACAGCCGTGACCACCGGGGCCAGCTTGGGCCTCGGTGGACGCGCAGTCTGTGTTTTTTAAAACGCCAACTCCTGCCCGCGTCTGCCCTGCGGTCACAGGAGGCGACTCGGCGTTCAGTGCTGCAGCTGGGGCGCGTAGGGGGGAGCGTCCAAGTCGGCCGGCAGGCGGAGTAGGGGTTGCACCGTCGGCCCCCGCCCCTGGCCAGGGTCCCCGACGGCCTCGGGAGTGCTCTGCAATCTAACGCGGCCAAGCGGGCTCCTCTGGGCGGGGACTCGGAGCTCGGCCTCTGTCGCCGGGGTCCCGGAGGGGATAGCGGGGGGGGGGGGGGTTGTCCCTGAGCCTCCAGCCCCGCCTCCCGCCGCGCCCTGCCCTCGGCCCCCACCCGCGGCACCGCCCCCAGCCGGACGGGAGGGCGGGGCGGGGGCGTTCCCAGCCAGGTGGCCGCGGGAGTCCCCGGCCGGCGCTGCACACGCTCCGCTGACAGCGCTTCACGCCGCCGGCAGCCGCTGATCACGCGCGGCGCCGCGCGCCCATTGGCCGGCGCCTCACACACCTTTGCTGCGGATTGGGTGGCCGCAGGCCCCGCCCCCGCCCCCGCCCGTGGCGCGGGGCCGCCAGGGCTACCTGAATGGGGCGGGGGCAGAAGGCGGGCAGCGCGGCGGGAGCGGAGGGCGTCGAGGCTCTGGCTCGCGCGTCTGGTGACGGCCATGCTCAGCTTGGGTGCCGCGCTCCAGCGGGCCGCGGTGAGTGCGGGGCCGGTATGCAGATGGGCGGCCCCGCGGGGCCCCGGCAGCTTGGGGAGGACGTCCCGCCGCCGGCCCCGGAGGTCCCCGCTTGGACCCCGGAGCGCGCCCCGGCTGGGCGGAGGCGCAGGGTGTCTCCGGGGCGTGGGGTCCCTGAGAAGTGGAGAGGGCGCCCCGCCGCGGGCCCTGGGGAGCTCCGGGGAGGCGCGGAGGCCGGAGAAGGGTGCCGGACGGGGTCCCGGGGGCGCGTCCCGCAGCCCTGGGGGACGAGGAGTCTCGGGGAGGGCGCGGGCAGCTGGCCCGGGAGATCCCCGCGTGGACCGCGCGCGCCTGTCGGGGAGGGGGGCAGACGGGGCCGAGGCCGGGAGGGGCACGGCGGCGGGGGCCCGGGAGATGCCCGCGTGGGCTCGGAATGAGTCCGGCGACCCTGGAGGGCGGGGATGCCGGACGGACCCGGGGAGATGCCCGCGCGGGCGGGGTGGGCGGGTGGCCTGCGAGGCGGCAGCCGGGGACCCCACGCGGGTGGCAGGTGGCCGGCGAGGGAGCGAGACCCGGTGCGAGACGCGGGGGCGGGCGGGGCCTCGTCTGGTCCCGGCGGGGCGGCGGGGCTTCCGCGGCCCGCCTCCTCCGCGTGGCGCGGCCCCGGGAGCGCCTCGTCCCCGGGTGACCCGGCGGGGCCCGCCAGGGTGAGGCGAGCGGGGCCGCGGTCGGTTCCTAAGGGAACGGGGGCGGGGCAGGAGTGCCGGGCGGCTCCGCCCTCCGCCCCTGCCCCGCCTCCCGGGCGCGGGGGCGGGGGCCCAGGAAGTAGGGGAAAGGTGAAGGCGCGGCGATCCCAGTTCACGTTTCCTGCGCAGCCCGGCCGCCGCGGATCACGCTTTGTTCACATGCCTCGCCCCCGCCCCGCCCCGCCCCGCCCCCCGGCCAATCCGCGTGCGGGCTGCCGGCCGGGTGGCCAATGGCGGGCCGGGGGCGCGCGGACTCGCGCGCGGGGAGTGCTGGCGGTGAGTCACCGCCGCGGGAGGACCCCGCCCCCGGCCGTCTGCCGCCCGCCGTCTGCCTCACTCCGCGCCGGCGGCTCCCGCCCTGCGTGCTGCCCGGGCGGCTTACGTAAAGCTCTGGGTTATGCAATTGCATTGTTGGTGATTGTTCCGGGAGCCAGGCCCTCCAGTCTCAGGGGACGTGCATTTTTAAAACAAGCGTTGAGAATACCTTGGTTTGTAATGTTTCTTGATATTTTTCCACAGTCTCTGCTTTGACCAAGAAAATCTAGGTTTTTTTGTTTTTTTTTTAAGTGCACTTCAAAGAATTAAATGCAGAGGAGGATCGGTTATTTTTGCCATCAAGCAGTACTTGAAACAGGTCCTGTTTTGTCGACCACAGATTCTGTCCAGTGCAGGTTTTTCCAAATTCTAAGTCAAATATATTTTGATTATCTGCTTTTTATTGTTGCATTTGCTGATCATGCTTAGTATAGCACACCCTTGTGTTTAGTATAACCAGGGTTAGTGAGGTAGTTCACAGACTTGGAGAGGTTGAAGCATGGCTGAAAGACAGCGTTGGCGTTTTCCCCGCACATTTCACTGGATCTCTCTTTACCGTAGATCGTTGAGTGCTCAGAAACTAACTTCAAGCAGTCTAACTTCGCTTTAAAGAGACCCTGAGGATCCCTGATGACCCACTGGCGTTCATCCCACAGGGGTGACCAGAGGTCGGAACCTGTCAGGGTCCAGATCTCGTCCCCTACACTTATAAGAAAGCCTGGACTCCCCACTCCTTTCTGTTAGGAAATCAGACCTCACGCCGCTCCACTTACATAGCAGTGAGGAAAAGCTTTTTTTTTTTTCTTTGCAGTTCTGGGAATTGAACCCAGGGCCTCATGAGTGCTAGCAAGTGCTCTGTTGCTCCAGCCCTGCTTCAGGTTATGTTATGACAGAACCCAGCTAAGTTGTCTAGGCTGGGGCCCAAACCTGTGATCCTCCTGCTTCAGCCTCCTGAGTGTCTGGGGTTGTAAGTGTGTACCATCACACCCAAGAAGAAAGAACTTTTTGGAAACCCTCTTTTTTTTTTTTTTGGTGGTACGGGGGATTGAACTCAGGACCTTGCGCTTGCCAGGCAGGCATGGTGACACTGAGCTACATCCCAGCCCAAGCCCTCCTCTCCTGTGCTGGCTATTGGCCACTGTGGGAAGACTCCCCAGGGGCTTCTCATCTCTGCAGCCCAGGGCTTGGACTCCTCAGTGGAAGTGAGGTCTTCTCCACCTTGCAGGGGCTCCAGCACTGCACATACTAAGCGTGAAAGGAAGAAGGAGGAAGAGTTTACTGCTGTCGCCATGAAGTCTGGGTCTCCCCAAGAGTGAAGCTGAACTTTCTAGGTTTCTAGCTTTGGATGATAAGTATGACAAGAAATATTCTAAGCTTCAATCTTTTGTCTTTACAGGAGGAAAGAATGGAAATGATTTCCGAAAAGTCCAAAGAGAGCATGTATTTCTGGAACAAAACCACAGAGAAAAGTGACTATGAGGCTGTGGAAGCACTCATGACCATGAGCTGCAGTTGGAAGTCTGATTTTAAGAAATATCTAGAAAACAGACCTGTCACACCAGCATCGGACACTTCAGAGGAGGAGGGCCTGCTGCCTGGAACGCCCGATTTCCACGCCATCCCCACGTTTGTGAGTACTGTTGTTTCTAAGCTAGCTGTGGACTATGGAATCGCTCATGCTTTGCACCGTGAGCTCCGAGTTTCTCACGCTGTTGCCTGTGTGTCTTTTCTGTCTAGTGTCTGACGCCACCCTACAGCCCCTCTGAATTTGAGCCCCCTCATGTGTCATCTCTGATGGCACCCGAGCCACCTGCTGAACATTTCCGGTCACTGTCAGACACTGCCAAGCCCCACCTCGCTGCACCTTTCAAAGAGGAGGAAAACAGCCGGCCGCCTGCCCCCAGACTCCTCAGGGCCCAGGCAACAAGTGTGATCCGGCACACGGCTGATGCCCAGCCCTGCAGCCACCGTGCCTGCCCTGTGCAGGCTGCCGGCGCCCTCAGCTTCCAGGATGAGGCTTTGCAGAGAAGGCCCCACCTGAGTATCGAGGGCACAAGGAAGAGTGTGCCCTGTGCAGCCGTGTTGCCAAGCAGAGCCAAGCGCGAGTGGAATATGCTGGCAGATGCCAGCGACCAGACAGGCTCCACCGTGCCTGGCTCCACTGTGCCCTCCTCAGATGCAGTGCTCTCCAGGCCCCGGCCCCGCCCTGTATCCCCACAGCACCCGGTGGCGGCCTCTCTGCCCGAGTCTTCCGCAGGGGGTGCGCCGCCGCTGCCTGTCATCTGCCAGATGGTCCCCCTCCCTGCGCACAGCCCCGTGGTGACAACCGTTGTCCCTGGTCCCCCGCCCAGCCAGCCACCCACCGTCTGCCCACCCGTGCTGCTCATGGGCACCCAGGTGCCCAAGGGCGCCGTCATGTTTGTGGTGCCTCAGCCCGTGGTGCCGAGCCCAAAGCCGGCGCTGAGCCCACACGGCACCAGACTGTCCCCCATCGCTCCAGCGCCCGGCCTCACACCCTCTGCGGCCAAGGCCACACCGCAGGTGGACTCCTCCAGGGTCCGGAGCCACATCTGCAGCCACCCAGGCTGTGGCAAGACCTACTTTAAAAGCTCCCATCTGAAGGCCCACATGAGAACGCATACAGGTATTGGCCGTTTGCTCTGCATGTGAAGGTAAACATGTAGGCACAGGGTGTGGTTACCAAACAGGGAGGCGCAGGCCGGTTGTCCCAGCCCCTGGGAGGCTGATGCAGGAGGATCACAAGTTCAAGCCCGGCCTGGGCAGCTTTGTGACTTAGCCAGACCAAATTTTAAAAAAGTATAGCTGGGGTCAGAGCTCAGTGTGAAGGCCCTGGGAAGGGCATTGGGTGTGGTCACGTGCACGAAGCAGATGCCTTAGGAAGAGGCGGTTTTGGCTACCAGCAGGGCCTGAGACTGACCGGTGCATGTAGGCGCCACGAAGGGTTTCGGTCAGCACTGCTAGCTGAGGTGGGTGGCAGAACACTTCTGGGGTTGGGCTCTGGGCGGGGGTTGGTGGGCACTGCAGCGTGAAAGCTCGCGGAGAACAGGACACGCCTGGGCCCTTGTGCCCCTTGGGTGTAGCCGCGGTGATGTGCAGGGCTGTCTGGCACCCAGTGACAGCCTCACCTCTCTTGCAGGAGAGAAGCCGTTCAGCTGCAGCTGGAAGGGCTGTGAGCGCAGGTTCGCCCGCTCCGACGAGCTGTCCCGTCACCGGCGCACACACACGGGCGAGAAGAAGTTCGCCTGCCCCATGTGCGACCGGCGCTTTATGCGCAGTGACCACCTGACCAAGCACGCCCGGCGCCACCTGTCCGCCAAGAAGCTCCCGAACTGGCAGATGGAGGTGGGCAAGCTGGGCGACGTGGCCCTGCCTCCCGCGCCTACGCCTGCGCAGTGACGCTCGGGACGTGAGGCCAGGACTCACGTTCACGGCTGGTACCGCCGGGCAGCCATGCTCCAGGAGCCAGGACCCGGCCTGGGGTGGTGACAGAAAGGGCTGTGGCCACCTGCAGGTCCAGCGCCGTGTCACTGCTGTCACAGGAGAGGCCGAAGGCTCCGGCTGAGGAATCGGGAATGCGATGTCGCTTCACCGTGTGTCTGCACTGGACACGGGTTCAACCGAGACCCTTGGGTGCTGGGCCCGGAGCAGAGGCTGAGCTGACCCTGCGGTGCAGAGAGGAGCTGGGGTGGAGGGCGTCCTGACTCGGACACCACCTGGCCTTCGCTGTTGTCTCCGTGGTTTCTGGCGTCAGACCCACACAGGATGCCGTTCCCACTGTCGCTGACACCGGGGTGGAAAAGCTACACGGCTGAAGAGCCCAGGGCGGGGATCCCTCACTCATTAATTTAATTGCTTTGAGGTGGAGCTACAGTTCTGCATTATTGTTTTGAAAGTTTAACAGGTGACTGTACTTAGGCATTTTATTATGCTTTCCACTTTAGTTTGCCTGCCGTTTCTTGTGTAGATTTGAACATTGTATCCCTATGTGTTTTCTGTGGACTCACCGAAACATTGATTGCACTTTGTTTAGAAAAAAAAATCTGAAGATAAATATATTTCATGAAGAAGGGACATCAAGAATTCCAGGTGACTCCTTGAAAATGATGGCTTTTGTTATGAGCAGACTGTGTTAGGAGGGTGTGTGTGTTTCCTTAAATTAGAAACTTAGCACTATTCCTAGGCAGACAAAGGGTCTGCTAATTCATAGGCGTTCTCAGAGATGGGGAAGGAAGGGTAGAACATTCTTAGGACATTCGATTTTGTTAGTATTTGTTATGTTTTGTTGTGCAGTGGGTGATATACACAGTGGAGAAAAATTGTTTGAAATACACAGTGAAAAAGTCACTATATCTGCACATGTAAAATTTTGTCTATTTTGGGTGTAGATTTCTGACATCAAAACTTAGACCCTTGGGAGAATTTTCTGTTAATTAAAAAAAATCCATGTGACAATTTGCACAATATTTTGTTGTACTTCTTGTTTACAATAAAGAATTTCCTTTGCTCTAGGTAATGGGCTTGTTGGATTTGTTGTCTTTTTTGTTTTGTTTTGGTTTTGGTTTTTTGTGACAGGGTCTCACTATGTAGATGTAGCCCAGGCTGGCCTCAAATTCCTTCGATCCTCCTGCCTCAGACTCCTGCCTCAGCACCATCAGGGCTGGTGCAAAAGCAGCACATGTTAATGTTTAGTTCTTGTGTACATTGTGATGACTCGAGGTTGAAATAGAGTTCTGGCTCTCGGCAAAGCCTTGTTCAAGGGCATGAGGGTAAGGAGGTGCCACAGCAACTAACAGGGAAGGCAGGGCTGCTCCCAGGAGCGAGCCACTCATGCTACAAGCTGAACCAGCTCGGAAATATCACGCCCGTTATCCCTGTCCCCCGGAGGCTGAGACAGGAGGATTGCCATGAGTTCAAGGGCAGCCTAAACTACATAGCAAGATCCAGTCTTCGAAAATCAAACAAAAATAAATGAGTGAAATCCCCTTATGGTTGTGAGAACATGGGTATGACGCCAGCCCTAACCACTGCTCTGGAGTCCGGCACACAGCGACACCAGGGTCAGCAGACAGGTCCCCAGATGCCCCCAGATGCGTCTGCACACCCGGTGCTGCTGGTCCTGGTGACTGAAACCCTCCCTGTGTGACAGCTGTTGGGAGCCCAGCCTTCCTGACACCCTATCCCCGGGTGGGGGTGGAAGCTGCAAGCGCCTCCTGCTGTGCGTGGCAGGGCCTTCGTGGCAGGGCCTGTGTGGCAGGGGCAGCGGAAGATGCCGCTCTGCTGTGTTCGTCAAGGCCCTGTCGGTGTCACCTGTGCCAGTTGGGTCAGCGGAGGCACCAGGCTCCCCAAGTCCATCTGCGGCACCTGAGGACGGGCCCCTTGGCACAGCACCTTTGACTGTTTCCTGGCTGATGTAAGATGCAGTTGTGGGTATTCAGCTGCCAGTTGGATTTTGAGATAATTGAGACTTAGAGAAAGTTGCAAAAATAAGAGTTCCTACGTGTCTATCCTTCGTTCAGCTTTTCTTTCTTTTTCAGCGTTTTTTGAGACACAGTCTCAGGGTCTCAGGGTCTCAGCCATCCTACTGCCTCGGCCTCCTGCGTTGCTGGGATGACAGGTGTGGGCTGCCACGCCCAGCCATTCAGCTGTTACATTAACAATTTGCACAGCCTTGGACCCCACACGACCAAGAAATGAGCCGCGACTCAACACATCAACTGGAGCAGAGCCCTGAGTGTCACCAGGTCCCTGTTAATGCTGACTGTGCATGGGTTCCGAGTGCTGCATCGTCTTGGGGACAGAGCTTCCTGTCCACTCGGAAGACCCCCGGGTGGGCCTGCCCAGAGTCCCCAGAGACCATCCGGGGCTGTCAGGATCCCTGGTGCCAACCTGTGCCCTGTGAAGCCACCTGCCTCGCTTGCCCGGGGACGCTGCTGGGATTGTCCACTGTGCACTGACTGTTTCTTTGTGAATCTCAGCTATTCGGAGGGAGAGGCTGCGGCTACGCAAACAGCCTGTTTATGCTCAAGACCTCCCTTCTGTGGGTCTGCCTGTGGCAGTTATTTCTGGGACTTGCTAACTCCTTCATTATTCATTCATTGGAATGCTCTAGGAGAGTGTTGCTGCTTCTCCATTTACTTTCATTGTTTTGAGACAAGGTCTCAAGGTCTCAGACTGGCCTTGAACTCACTCTGTAGCCCAGGCTGGCCTTGAACTTGCTGTGAGCCTCCTGCCTCAGCCTCCTGAGTGCTAGGGTTACATGCCAGCGCCACCACACCTGGCTTCCATTTACTTATTACTAAGTTACTTACATTGCTAGGGACTCAGATGTGTATGTCATTCCTTGAGTTATAATGAACACTTGTTTTGGGGACTCAGTTATCCCACTTTGGCCCTTGTTAGCTCAGTTTTCACCATTTCTGATTGACAAAGATGAGAATTGCGTACGGCTCAGCCTTCGCTCTCTCACTGAGCTGAGAGCTATTTGGTATTAGTGACTCCACTGTTTAAAAGCTTTCTGTCCCTGTGCTGCCTGCACCAGTCTAATCTACCCAGCCCCTGTCCCCTAACCTGATGCTGCTGTCCTTCCAGGGCTCCTGGCTGTGGGCTCCAGGCCCCCTGCAGTCTTTTTTATTTTATTTTTTTGGTACTAGGGATCCAACTCAGGGCCTTCCGCTTTCAAGGCAGGTGGTGAAACCACTAAGTGAAATCCCTGGGCCCCCTGCAGTCTTTTGAAGATGAAAACCTGTCATCTTCGCAGTCAGGAGGCTGAGGCAGTAGGATCGCTGCGAGTTCGAGGCCAGCCCGGGCTGCACAGTGAGGTCGAGGGCAGACTGAGACCGTGAGACCTCGTCTCCAAAGAGAAGGCCTGTGTTGCTGACCGGGACTCGGCTGGGAGCAGCCATGTTTCCAGGCCCGGTGGCCAAGGCGGCGGATGGCTGCTGGAAGCACCGCGAGGTCGGTCTCGGAGGCCCCGCCCAGTCCCTGGCTGCCCCTCGGCCCGGTGTGCGAGCCGGGAGCCCTCGGGGGCGCTGACTCGTGCACCGAGAACGCGTCCCTGCCGGCTCACTCCGACCGCCCCGTATGACATCACCACCCTGCTCTGCGCCGACTCTCCTGGGCCGAGCTCCCCTCGCTCACCGCAGCATCTCCCAGATCTCCTGCAGGCGGCGCCCAATACGTAGCCGGGCGTCACTTCTGCCGCACCGAGGCTCTGCAGGGAGCTGTTCCCTGGCACACGGAGACAGAGGCCAGGAGATGCTCACGGGGGCTTTCTTCTTTCCCCATAGTTACCCACGCGTGTAGAAGTACCACTGACACCACCTTCCAACCTTTTTTTTTCCCGTATGGGGGACCGAACCTGAGACCTTCACGTTTAGCTATGTCCCCAGCCATTTTTACTTGGAGACAGGATCTCACCAAGTTGCCCAGGCTGGGCTCAAACTTGCAATCTTCCTGCTTCAGCCTCCTGAGTGCCGGGATTGCAGGTGTGCACCACCATGGTCAGCTTCCACCTTCCAGACTCTGAGACGTGGCTGTGGGGCGGGACTCAGGAGTCGAGTGCCTGTCTGGCCTCTCGGGACCCAGGGGTGTGTCCTCTGGAGGTGTCTTCTGGCGCAGACTCACTGGACTGCATCTCTAGCGAGGCTGGGAGGAAACTAGACGGGGTGGGCATGCATGAGGCTCCCGCTGGCCGTGGGTCTGACTCGGAGCCTGGATGGTGAGAAGTGTGGCCTCAGCATCTGCCCACCTCTCTCTGGAGGATGCTCAGCATCGGGGATTTCCATCGAGGGTCCAGGCAGCCTTGGAGCCGAGCAGAATCTTTGAGGAGATGACCTCGGGTCTCCCTCGGGGAGCCTTTCTCCGGGAGCTGACCCCTCATGGCATTCTATGCCTTTCCTATGTCCAGGCAGTTTGAGGAATGACCACAGTGCTGTGAATAGCACTGCCTCCAACTGCACGGTGGTGTGATGAAGCACAGGGTTGTGCACAGAGTGACCCAAAGACAGTGTGGGCCTCGGGGTTCCCCAGGAAAAGAACCAGTAACCCAAGCAGAACATCTCTGCACATCAGAACACAGCCACATATGTGGCAAGGGACTGAGTCTAAGGCACCAGGATTTAGGGCCTGGCAAGTCCTCAGTAGCAAGCAGAAGCCCATGGTGTATTTCCTGTGCAAACACAGCAGGCCTGAGGCCTAGCCCAAAGCATCAAAGTTTCCATCCCAGTCCAAAGGCAGGGGAGAATGGTGTCCCAGCAGCAGGGTTTCCTGACCCAGGTTCTTCCATGCCAGCCTTTGCTGATGGGCTGTAGAAAACTCGCATTTAGGAAGGCTCTATCTCTGCTCAGTCTAGTGCTGGTATGCTGTGTTATGGTTGAGCTCTAGCATGGCCCCCAAAGCCTCATGTGTCCAGAAGTGGGGTTTTTAGAAGGTGATTGGGTTCTGGGGGCACTGTACTCATCCGTGGGCCAAACCACTGATAAGCACCCAGCTAGATGTGTTGTTAGGAGGTGGGGCCTGGTTAGAGGAGGTGGGGCCTGGTTAGAGGAGGTGGTCCTGGGGGTGTGGCCTGGAAAGTGTGTCTCCCTCCCTGGCTCTTCGCTTCCCTTTCTGCTTCCTCGCTGCCACCATGTGAACAGCTTTCCTCTGCCAGGCCCTTCCACCACGGCTTGGAGCCAGCTAACCATGGACTGAATCCCCCTGAACTGTGAGCCCAATAAAACTTTTCCTCCTTTAAATTGTAGGTGTTGGGCAAGCTGACTAATACACACCGTGAACCAGTTTATTGCTTGGGAAAGATGCATTATTATCCTAAGTCTCAGTGTCCACCATTGAAAATGGCACTAAACACAACACACCTATCAGCTCACAGAGCACCTGGCAGGTTCTAGTAAGGTTATTCACAAAGAGCCTTGGAAAGCACAACACAGTCTGTGAGTGCTGGCACTGTCCCAGCACTGCGTGCAGAACCTGTGGGTGGCAGCGAATCCATCTGAATGCCCACTCAGGTGGCCACCTACTCTGGGAAAGGGAAGCCACCTGGCACTGGATGGTTAGAGAATTTGGATAGCCAGGGCTTCTGTGCTTGTAATTATTGGTGACCCAATGAAGGTAGATTCCACGGCAATGAGGCCAGTGAGTGGAAAGGAAAGCACAGACCGTCCATCGAACTGTGGTGAGCTTGTCACTCACCTGCCTCCAAGGCAGAAGGCCGGCAGTCACCCCGAAGCAGCCGACAACTGCACTGAGTTTGTCAGTCCTCCAAGTCCCCTTCGTGCCCCTCTGAGCACCGGGAGTGGATTCTCAAGTGCAAGCTCAGCCAATCCCTGATAAACCCCCATCTTGGCTAAAAATGGTGAGAAGTTAGCCCAGAGCTTCAAGAATCAAACCCCGGGGACGAGGGTCAGTATCTACACCAAAGCCTCTTCCCCCAAGAAGATGGCCGGGCCACGCCGCATGGGGTCCACCCCAGAATGTGGGTCCACGTGGGCACACACTGCACTCAAAGACATGCAG